CAGAGAGGTTAAGTAGCTTAGTGTCGGTAACACAGTCAGTAGTATAGCTGGAATTTGTACTCAGAGCTTCCTGAATCAGAAACCTGGAGTCCTTGCAATTCTCTACTTGAGCTGTCTGTTGAAAAACTATGGGAAGTTTTAAAAATGCATTTAAAATTCACCTCTAAACTCAGAAATTCTTCAATTTGATTTTTTAAAAAAGCCTCATTGAGACAATTCACCTCCCATAGAATCCACCCATTTGGAATATAAAATGCAGTGTTTTATAGTATATTGAGAGGTTAAACACCATCGCCACAATTTAGTGGTAGAACATTTTCATCTTGGTGGTAGGCCTGGCAATTGAGTCCCTTGTGTCTTTACTTCAGGGCCAGAGACCCTGTAAGATTTCTTGAAGTGAAATTTTGAAAGTGAGAGAGTGTTAGTCACTCAGTTGTCCGATTCTTTGCGACCCCATGGACTGTAGCCTGCCAGGCTCCTCTGTCCGTGGGATTTCCCAGGCAAGAATGGTTTGAGAATGTTTTCTAAGTCACACAACTTTCATTTTCTTTTGTTTTCAATTTATTATTTTTGGCTGTGCTGGGACTTTGTCGCTGTGTGCGGACTTCCTCTAGGTGTGGAGAGCCGGGGTGACTCTCTAGTTTTGCGGTGAGGTGGGCTTATCAATGTAGTGGCTTCTCCTGTTGCGGAGCACAGGCTCAGTAGTTGTGGGGCATGGGATTAGTTAATGTGGAATCTTCCTGGACCAGGGATCAAATCTGTGTCCCCTACATTTGCAGGTGGATTCTTTTTTTTTTTTCCTGTTTATTTTTTTTAATTTTTATTACTTGTAGGCTAATTACTTTACAATATTATAGTGGTTTTTGTCATACATTGACATGAATCAGCCACAGATTTACATGTGTTCCCCATCCCGATCCCCCCTCCCACCTCCCTCTCCACCCGATTCCTCTGGGTCTTCCCAGTGCACCAGGCCCGAGCACTTGTCTCATGCATCCAGCCTGGGCTGGTGATCTGTTTCACCCTAGATAATATACATGTTTCGATGCTGTTCTCTCAAAACATCCCACCCTCACCTTCTCCCACAGAGTCCAAAATTCTATTCTGTACATCTGTGTCTCTTTTTCTGTTTTGCATATAGGGTTATCGTTACAATCTTTCTAAATTCCATGTATATGCATTAGTATACTGTATTGATCTTTATCTTTCTGGCTTACTTCACTCTGTATAATGGGCTCCAGTTTCATCCATCTCGTTAGAACTGACTCAAATGAATTCTTTTTAATGGCTGAGTAATATTCCATGGTGTATATGTACCACAGCTTCCTTATCCATTTGTCTTGCAGGTGGATTCTTAACCATTGGACCACCAAGGAAATCCTCATTTTCTTCTTTAAAAGCATAGAAATGCAGGTCAAATAGTATTAAGGAACTCAACCACTGTGTTCTCAAACTTCAGGGTGCACACACACCACTGAGGGCTCTTGTTAAAATTCACATTCAAATTGAGTAGATTTGGGGTGAGATCAGGCCTACTTTCATCAACTTGGTTATAGGAATACTAACATTGGAGCCCAGTTAAGTGAAATGCTATCTTGCCTGTAATTCCATTCTTCTCATTAGTAGTTATGTGTTACCAAAAAACCCCTCAAAACAAATGTTCTCAATCATTATTATATTTGATTTTTTTCAGTAAAATATATGTGAACATTTTTCTTTCTTGTTATATAAATAGCTACAATATAACCATGATTTTGCCTCTTGTAACAAAAAGCCTAACATATTTATTGGCTGGCCCTCAATAGAAGAAGTTTGCCAACCCTAGAGTAGAGAGAGCATCCGGCTTCCCTGATGGCACACAGTTGGTAAGGAATCCACCGGCAAGGCAGGAGACGTGGGTTCAATCCCTGAGTCAGGAAGATCCCCTGGAGAAAGGAATGACAACCCACTCCAGTATTCTTGCCTGAGAAATCCCATGGACAGGGGAGCCTGGCGGGCTATACAGTTCATGGGATCGCAGAGAGTCAGACACGACTGAGCATGCATGCACAGTATAGAGCATGGTGTAAGGCCACCTCTGAGTTGCATGAATCTTGTTCATCTTACTCCCCAGTTGCTTGCTGTGTTTGTCAGACTTGGCATTAGTAATCAGACTGATAGGAACCCAAACTAAGTCAGAGGGGCAACAAGCTGGTTGTATTTATGGGTAACCAATCCCCCTCTACCCAGGAGCCATCTGAACTCGTGAGAATCAGCTTCAGATTTTGTTTAAAAATAGATTTTCCTGGGTTGCAGGATACTTGCTCGAGTAGCCTAGGTAGGTTTCCACAAAGGACCTAGAGTCTTCTCGGCTAGGTCATGTCAATAAGATTTTGGAAGCAGGATTTCCTAGCAGTTATTTGTTATCCATACAGAGAGCTTGATTAATTAGGTTTGGATGACAGGTGAACTTATGGGTAGAATATTGCTTCCTCTTACACCAACTTTAAAGCTGTTTTGCCCTGAAGGATCTATGCTATACTCATACTAGAACACAGAAGACTTTTCAAAACTCTCCAGGCTTCAAGTTGTCTCCTACAACATAACTTATTGCAGAGCTTTCCCCCAGATGTCCATCTTGTACTCTTCTTTCCTGTGGTCTTGGCCAATGACAATTTTAGGTCTCCTAGCTGATGGCTGATTTTCAGACTGTCTCTTTTTTCTTTTTGGATGCAAGAACTTATCCAATAATCAACAGTTACTGCAAATAATCCTTGTTCCCACAAGACCCCTAACTGTGATCATAGTTTAGTATGCTCTTGGGTTGTGGGAGGGGACAAGTACAAAGTATGACCTTGAAGGAATTAGATTATGCCCACCCCAAATAATTGCAAGGTTTACTAATCTATATTATTAGAAACTAGGATACAGCCAAGGAACATGTGATATAACACTGGATTGAGTTCAATGTATTGATAAGGTACATTTCCTAGAGTTTCTGGGTTTAGTGTGGTACCCAGAAACTCTGGAGATCATGCAACTGGAGGTGTTTGTAACAGTTTTCTTGATTGATTGATTGAAATCTGAACATAATAAAGTGAAAGTGAAGTCACTCAGTCATGTCCCACTCTTTGCGACCCCAAGGACTGTAGCCTTCCAGGTTCCTCCATCCATGGGATTTTCCAGGCAAGAATACTGGAGTGGGTTACTGTTTCATTCTCCTGGGGATCTTCCCAACGCAGGGATCAAACCCGGGTCTCCTGCACTCCAGGCAGACTCTTTTCTGTCTCAGCCACCAGGGAAGCCTCCCTGGACATAATGGTGGCCTCCATTGATTTCTGAGTGATATGCTTGACTCCCAGTTCGTTAGACACAACTGTGTCTTTTGCTATGTTGATATCCTCTGCCCCTAGTTTCTTTCATCAGTGCATTTATTTCTTTGTGTCTTCTTTAAAAATTACTGATCCTCATGATCCTATCTCTGCCTCTTCTCTTCCTGTGTATTCTCACTTGTATGATTTCAGCCACCATGTAGGTATCAGTAATTCTCATTTAAATGCCTCTTGTAAAAAAAATAATAATAAATGCCTCTTGTATAGACTTCTCTGATAAACTTGAGTTTCATATTCCAAATGCCCTTCTGAACAGGTCTTTGTTTTTTATATTTGCCTCCTAAGCACCTGGACCCCAACATCTTCAGATTTTAAATAACTTTTTTTCTCTCACCCTTTTTTGTTTTGTATCCTCTATCTCTGTTAGTAATATTACCATCAACATTCCTAGGCTTTACCCCAGTCCTATTGAATCAGAATTTCTGGAGATGGAACCTCAGGAATCTATGTCTGGACAAGTCCCATGGCTGGTTCTAATGTACACTAAAATTTAAGAATCTTTGCATTTCCCCATGCCAGAAACCTCAGTGGCCCTCTCTTCCCACTCACATCTAGTTGGTAACTGGACCTTATTGAGATTATCTCCCTGATTGAGATATTGAGGTATCCCCGAATATCTGAAAAAATGGTCCTTTATTCCTCCAACAAACTTCACTTCCCAGTCTCTCCCTGGTCCTCCTGCCTGATCCTCCTCATTGTCTACATAACCTCTACCCTCTCAGACAATTACTGAATACCGATGTCTTTCAAAACACGCATTTAAAATAGAAATCTGAATGCGCAATTCCTTGTCTTAAAAGCATCCAACAGTTTGATGGCATGGGAGCAGTGTTCAGACTTTTTAAGGTCATGGAACGCCTTCAAATAAAACCCTGCCAGAAAATCCAACTTATAGAAGAGATAAAAGCAGAGCTGCTCTGTTTGAAGCAGGGGTCGGCGCCAGAGACTTGGCCATGCAACCTGCCTTGCTGTGTTTCCTAAGAAACCAGTCCGAAAGACACAGTGTGGAAAACACTGGATAAAGTCCAGGTGATTTATTTGGCCATCAAACTCCTCCCTGGCTGGCTGTTTCCTTCCTCTTCCCTTTCCACCATGAACTCAGACCCCAGCCTTGGGATTATTCACTATTCCCTGGACCAGTTCTCTGTAGTTGTGGCTTTTCATATTTACCATCTTCACATCCCACAATGACCACTTTCCTTTTCCTCACTGTCCTTTTCTTTGTGTTCTCAAAGCCAAGTTGACATTTATGACCTTTTAAAAAATGTTTTCGTCTGTCTCCACTACAAAATAGACAAACTCTTTAGGAACAGAGCCCATGCTTTATATATTTATGTATCCTCTAGATCCAGCATTTCATTGCATTCATATGCTCTGTAACCCATTGCATCTGTTCTTTGGCTTTATTTTCTCCTACCCTGAGCATGCCTTAGTGAATTAAGCATTATTTTAAAATTACATTTATTAACCACAAAACTACATGACACTACTCATTCATTGTAGAAACATGGGAACAAAGAGCATTATAAAGAAGAAATTAAAGTACTACCCAGACCGCTGCCGCGGGCTCGGTGAGTGAGGAAGCGCCTGGGCCCAGCCTGCTGAGGCGCCTAGCAGACGCCTGGGCTCGCCCGCCGCCAGCCAGCTTCAAGCACATCCCATCCCACACGGCCGGGCGCAGGGCAGGCCCGCCGGAGCCATGGAGGACGAGGTGATCCGCATTGCCAAGAAGATGGACAAGATGGTGCAGAAGAAGAACGCGGCTGGAGCATTGGATTTACTGAAGGAGCTTAAGAATATTCCCATGACCCTGGAACTATTACAGTCCACAAGAATTGGAATGTCAGTGAAGGCTATTCGCAAGCAGAGCACAGATGAAGAAGTTACATCTTTAGCAAAGTCTCTCATCAAATCCTGGAAAAAGTTATTAGATGGACCATCAACAGATAAAGATTCTGAAGAAAAGAAAAAAGATACTGCAGTTACGTCACAGAATAGCCCTGAAGCAAGAGAGGAAAGCAGCTCTAGCGGCAACATGAGCAGCAGAAAGGACGAGACCAATGCCCAGGACACCTATGTCTCATCTTTTCCTTGGGCGCCGAGCACTTCTGATTCTGTGCGGTTAAAGTGCAGGGAGATGCTCGCTGCTGCTCTACGAATGGGAGATGACTACATCGCCATTGGAGCTGACGAGGAAGAATTGGGTTCTCAGATCGAGGAAGCCATCTATCAAGAAATAAGGAATACAGACATGAAATACAAAAATAGAGTACAAAGTAGGATATCAAATCTTAAGGATGCCAAAAATCCAAATTTAAGGAAAAACGTGCTGTGTGGGAACATTCCTCCTGACTTGTTTGCTAGAATGACAGCAGAGGAGATGGCTAGTGATGAGCTCAAAGAGATGCGGAAAAACTTGACCAAAGAAGCTATCAGAGAGCATCAGATGGCCAAGACGGGCGGGACCCAGACGGACTTGTTCACGTGCGGCAAGTGTAAGAAGAAGAACTGCACCTACACACAGGTACAAACGCGGAGTGCTGATGAACCCGTGACAACGTTTGTCGTCTGCAACAAGTGTGGAAACCAGTGGAAGTTCTGTTGAGCTGGAAGCATTGGCAAAACATCTCGACCATTAAGAAGATGGATTTTGTAGTTAGCTTTAAGACTAGGTCAACTCGCTAGTTTTCCTGCAAATGAGATTTTTAAAGTAACTTGCCTCCCTTGGGTTAGTCTCTGATTTTGACATACTGTCCCTTCCTTAAACGCCTTCTGCAGTTTCAGGAAGACACACTGGGAGGAAGATGTTAGCGTTTTAGAATAGTGTGGTTCCTGTGAACAGTTCCTGACTTGACTTTGATTTGGAAATCTGTCCTGACTGAGGACTTTAAGGCTTATAGAGATCATTAAGCTGTGGTCTTTCCATATGGAGACTGACGGGGCACATTTCTGTCCTCACTGACTTGCTGCCTCTGTTACACAGGAGTAAGGCTGAGGGACAGACAAGTGCGTGGGCTATAACACGGCCCACGTTTATGGGACGGACCTTGCAGTTAAGTGTGTGCCATCTGCTTGATTGGGAATAAGGAAGAACGATCTCATGCTGGCTGTCGCATATCTTGAGTCCCCAGTTATGAGGACCACATCTCATCCTGCTCCATCTCCACTTTCCCACCCCTATGGAAAGACTTCAGAACCAGCTTGCACGCCCCCCCCTCCCCGCCCCTCCACTGCTCACCACAGGTCAGTTTGATGCAGTAGAGGAAACTTCCAGAAGTCCACATGAAGATCCCACATGTAAGAATTGGCCACTGGTGCCGTACCACCTCCACTTTGTCAGGTCATAGAGTAACCTTTTATCACTTGGAAAATAACATGAATTTTTGAAAGAATGAGTGTAAGAAGAATAAAATAGTCCCACTTTTAAGTGAGCCATTTTTAAATTTGTAATTCAATAAAGTTTCTTGTTATTAAACATGAAAAAAAAAATAAAGTACTACCCAAAGATAAACTTAATATTTTGACTTTCTCCCATTCTTTTTTCCATGTTTAGGTGTGTATTTCCTTTAACACATTTAGAATGTATATGTGTGTATGTGAGTATTTATCTTTGTGTGTATTTATGATAAAGATGGCACATTTTTAAGTAAACAATGCAGTATTGTTAGCTGTGGTCACTGAACTGTCCTGTAGATCCCTAGGAGTTATTCATCAGCATAACTGGAACTTTGTACCCTTTGACCAATTTTGAAAGATTCAGTTTATCCTCTAAAAAGGTTAGGGTTATGGTATGAACCATAAAAGCTCTTAGATTTTTTTCTACTTTCAAGCTATAAAGTAGGTCTGTCACAGTTTTATGTATGGTGTTTGAAGACACACAATCCTGGGTCAGATACAATGGATTTTATTATTATCAGGACAGCTAGTCTTGTGAGCTTCACGTTGGCATTGATTCCCCTTGCCCACAAGTGCCCTGGTGGAAACTGTGTGCACGCAGTGGATTTGTGTAACAGCTGAGGAACCCTGAAAGTAGGGAATTCAACTTTTTTTACAATGGACTGCAAGGAAATCTGCCCTTGGCCCTTGAGGGAGAGTTTTGCTTTATTACAATTTGTTTAATTCCCTTTGCTCCAGAGAGAGGCAGACTATGTCTTTCACTGGTCACTCTATAAACAGTTCTGGAGGATTGTCCAGAATAAAAGGCCAGTTAGTGCCTCTGCTCACAAGACATGTAAATATGGAAGAGCCCATGGAGAATTGTCTTTCAGCTAAAAGTTGAACCTATTTCCACTTCCACCAATGGGGCATGAGTATGCCCATTTCCACATACCCTCACCAAACATTGGATGACAGTGGATTTTCTTTCTTTCTACATTTTCATAATCTAATGAAAAACTAAAAAGTGTTTTCCTTGTCATAATTTTCTTTTGAATGACTAAATAAGCTTTTTTTCATATTTATATGAATTGCCTGTAAATTGTTAATACTGTGGGTTACCTGTTCTTGCTTTTGCCCCTTATTTTACTGGTTCATTTTCTTGTGATTTTTGGGAGCTCTTTATGCTTGCTAGATAGTTATCCTTTTTCTGCTTTATATGGAAAAAATCTTATTTCCCAGCTTGTCTCTTCTTTCTTTTTATTTATACTGGCTTCTTTTGTATAGATACTTAAAATTTATATATGGTCTGTTGTGTGAAACTTTTTTATGCAATACAGGATTTTGTGGGTCTTGTTAGTTAAAAAGCATACAGAGGAATTATCAGATATTATGATACAAGTGTATCTACTAATTCATTCAAATCTTTCTTTCTTGAAGTTATTTAGGTTTATTCCTGACCAGTGTTTTATTTAAAAAAATAGACATAGTCTTCTCTTTAAAAATATCAAAACACGTGATGCCATGATTAAGAACCAACAATGTTAAATATCTTTTTTCAAATTGAGGGTTCTGTGAAAATTCACAGTGAACATCAGAGCATTAAAGACTCTGATAAGTTGTGGAGTGCTAAGTGGTAAATAATTGGCCTGCCAATGCAGGAGATGCAGTTTGATCCATGGGTTGGGAAGATCCCCTTGGGGAGGAAATGACAACCCACTCCAGTATTCTTGCCTGGAGAATCCCATGGACAGAGAAGCCTGGCCGGCTGAAGTCCATTGAGTCGTAAAGAGTCAGACATGACCGAGCGACCGAGCATGCAGGTTGTTCCATGGAGGCCCTGAGAGGTAGTCACTATCCTGGTGAGAAGCAGGGTCCTTGAAACCAGACTGTTCTGAGTTACTCCCTGACTGCATAATTTTGGGGATGGTGTAGGGTATAGTTCGGGCGAGGCAGAAAAGGAAAGACGACCTCAACAGAAGTAGGTTACCTTTATTCAGGCAAGGAGGGGCGACAGTCGGCCTGATGACCAGGCTGAGCGCCGGGAGGGATCAGGGAGGCTTCATACTTATAGGGAAGTTTGTGGAAGCGATAAGGGAAACGTTAATTAGGCAGGATATTTTGAGTATTCTTTTGTTGAGATGACATTTGTAGTTGGGCAGGGGGTGATAAGTCTTCTGGGCGGGTATAGGGGGTGCAAAGTTCCCGGACAGGGGGCGATAAGTCTTCTGGGCAGGTGTAGGGGGTGGAAGGTTTCTGGACAGGGGTTGATAAGTCCCAGATAGATGCAACCGGCATGGAGCATCAGGGTGGAACTAAAATTCTGTTTTGTTTTCTCCAAAGTTAGATGATTCAGCAAGGGGCCTTTGAGACTGTTGTTCTCTTTACTAGGCCCAAAAGACTCCTTCACATGGCAATTAATGTCTTTTGCCTTAGTTTTTCTCATCTATAAAATGGAGGTATTGTACATCTGTGTCTCTTTTTCTGTTTTGCATATAGGGTTATCTTTACCATCTTTCTAAAGGCTGGATGCGTGAGACAAGTGCTTGGGCCTGGTGCACTGGGAAGACCCAGAGGAATCGGGTGGAGAGGGAGGTGGGAGGAGGGATCTGGATGGGGAATATATGTAAATCCATGACTGATTCATGTCAATGTATGAAAAAACCACTACAATATTGTAAAGTAATTAGCCTCCAACTAATAAAAATAAATGAAAAAAAATGGAGGTATTGGAATTTATTTTGTGAGAGGGTCATGAGGATTAGTTGAATCATCTATGTACTAGCTGTTTTTATTTTGGGACATTCTGAGGATGCTGTTCTTGGAGCATCATGGTAAAGCTGCTGGTCTTATTAGTTGACCATCCTACTATTGCTTAGGGAATCAATACCATTTTGAAAAGAAATTCAACTACTGCACCCCTATGAAATGTGCCACGTGAGAAGAAACTGCTCAGTTGAGAGTAAATGCTGGTAATTCTGTAGCATTGGCCCTCGAATCTTTCAAGTTGCATTCATAGTTAAGGAACTATTCATTTCTCTCCTCACAGCATCTTTCTCTCTCTCTCAGTTCTAACCTCTTGATAGTCATGTGTAGTCCTCCCTGCTCATCTATTTGAAAGACACTCTCAAGTAAATTTTGCATATGCTATTTAGCTGGTTATTCTAAGCATCCTAAATATCCCTTTAAGTGTGCTAAAAATTCATCTTGCTGTTGTGCTATCAGTAACAAGCAACAGGAAATTAATTTTGTGTTAATTTCCTCGTAAGAGTACTTCTAGAAACATCCTATTTTTTTTTCAATTGATATGTTTTAAGTGTGTTTAGCTTTTAAAAGAAGGACTCTGTGATACATTGTTCAATAACCTGATTTTTTTAACTTGACATACAGTATGAATGTTTGCATCTTGTTGTTGTTTAGTCACCAAGTCGTGTCCAACTCTTTCTGACCCCGTGGACTATAGCCCACCAGGATCCTCTGTCTGTGGGATTTCCAAGGCAAGAATACTGGAGTAGGTTGCCAGTTCATTCTGCACATTGCCACCTTAATATTATATAATATGTTATATCGATGTATCCATTTCCTGTGATCTGACATTGCTTCCAATTTTCAGCTATCAAGCAGTGCCCTGGCAAATCTCACAAGTTTCTTACTAGTCCTTAGGATACAGTTCATACTTGGAAATGGAGGGTCAAGTTCATGCACTCCTTGCCACATCACCTCCAGGGGTAAAAGTCTTGGAGTTAATGTCCTTCATATTGCATTAGAAACAGTTACCTGCCAAAGATCTAAGTTATCATTGTCTCTATTTCATAACTATTATATTCCCTCTGGCAGTGCATTTGTAAAAATGAGCTTTTTTTTTTTCATTAAAAATGTGATTTCTTTTCATGACTAGCTGAATTTATAACTAAATAACAAGGCAACAAAAATTTTTTTTCTCCATCTCATAATCTTCTCAAGTGATGGAAGAAGCATAGCTAGAAACAGTCTTCACAAAGATAATTCTAGGGATAAGACTGGCTTATCACTTCCTTAGCCATTAATCACAGTATTTAATGGTTATTTGTTGAAGATGATAAAATGGTTAAAGGATTATTTGTGACATGTCATTCTTCCTAGAGGTTTGAGACATCAATTACCCACCTTAGATTAGGAAATGTAATTCAATCATTTTAAAAGTAATTTACAATAATTCTAATTTCTAATGCATTTTTCTGTAGAAAATGATACACAGTGTCTCAGTTTGTCTGGGCTACAACAAAAACACCATAGATTGGATGGCTTAAACAAGAAACATTTGTTTCTCACACTTCTCGAGACTGGGAAGTCCAAGATGAAGGTGCTGGCATATTTGGTGTTTGGTGAGTGCCCACTTCCAGGCTTTTAGATACTATCTTCTTCCTGTCTCCTTATATGGCAGAAGGGAGGAGGGAGCTCTCATCATTCATGAGGCCTCTGGTCTCTTGAGCTAATCACCTTCCAAAGGCCCCACCTCCAAATACCATCACATAGGGGCTTAGGTTTCAACATACAAGAATGTTGAAAAGAAATACAGTAAACCGTCATGGACTTGCCAACTGGGTTCTGCTATTAACATTTTGCCATATTTATTTTATCTCTATAGTTAATACGTTACAAATAATACACTTACCAACAGGATGCTTCTTTATACACCTTCTAAGAATAAGAACCTTTCAAAGACTATTCTTACTAATAACCACAATATTATTTTCATACTTAAAAGGATTAGTAATTTCATATTATCTAGTATCTGGTCCATATTCACATGTCCTCAGTGTCCTTAGAATGTTTTTCTAAATAACTTTTGTTTTAAAGGATCTAATCTAAATAATCAAGGTTTTTGTATTGTATTTAGTTATTTGGTTATATTGCTCTTTGGACTCTTATTTAATCTGTAAGAGTTCATCCATTTTCTTCTTCTCCTTTTTTTTTTTTTTTTTTGGTCATTGACTTGGAAATGTGTTGGTTAATCCAGAATGTGAAGTACTCCCATTTTATATTTGTAAAACATTTTTTAAAATGTGCATGTATGTTTTTATTTATTTGGCTCTACTGGTCTTAGTTGTGGCCTGTGGGATCTACT